CACAGCTGCAAAGCCTGTTTCAAACAGAAACAAAAGCTTGAGATGGAAAGGGCCTGATTCCTAAGGTCTAGCGTTTGTGTTATTTCTGTTCCCTCTTGACACTTAGCTGCATGTTTGACCTTGAGGTTTAAGCCACTCTTGCCTCGTCTGCTGAACATTTTCCCTTTCACCCAGCTATGCCTGTGAGATGTGGCCAAGCTGGAGGAAGACGTTCACTGGGAGCAGGCCTTTGAAGATCCCTGCCCAGTCCCTGGTTCCAGCCGTCTCCTGCGTCTCCTGGTCCAACATGATGTGAGAATCCTCCATCACACACTCCCACCGGTACGTGCTTCTCCTTCCTGACAGTGATAGATGGGACCTTCAGAAACCATATGCCAAAGCCATTTCTGCCAGGTTTGCCCCACTGATGTGAAAGTAGCTAAAACGACCCCCACTCTTGCTGATCTCTATTCTGATCTCACCCCAGTCTCCTCGGTTTTTCTTCTTGACTCATCAGTCAAGTATCTCAGGCTGAGTGCGTCCTTTGTCTTCAAAGCTCATCCTTTCTCATCTCTGTCTTCATTCATTCCTTTGGTAATTTCACCCAGAATCACCATCTTAAAAACTAAATCTGTGCTTGTACTTCTAAACCTCCGTCTCAGCTCAGACTTCCCTCTTAGAGGTCAGATTTCATGGTCACGGGGCCTCTCAACATTTTCACTAGGTGGCATCTCAAAACTCACACACATTTTGAGATTAAAGTTTTCTAATTCCTGGTCTCTGGACATGAAAACTATGTCATTACTGACTTTCCCTACATGAAATGATACAAACTACATTCATCTTACATCCATGGATCACAGGCTAACAATTTGCAAGCCCCTAATTAAACTCCTTTCCTTCCTTCCATCTCTACCCAGTCATCTTTTCTCGGCACAACAGCCAGAGGGTCCCCTTTAAAACAGAAGTCACATCCTGACAATCCCCTTCTGGAAACTCCACAGCACCTCCTGTTCCCATGCAATGACCAAGACCTTAGGTGTTAACAACCTCAGGTGCATCCTTGAACCTTGTATCTTGCTACATCTTCACACTCTGCTGCAGCAGCACTGGCCTTCCAGCTGTTTCTTAAGACAGGACGTTTGCTCTGGCTGTGCCCTTTCCCCAGGAATCCACAGGGCTTGCACCCTTACCTTTACTTCTTGCCTCAAATATCCTTCAATGAAGCCAAGTTTTGGGGCTTCGCTTCAAATAGACCACTATTTGAAATTATGATCTTTCCCCATTGCGCCCAATCTGCCTTTATTCTACTCTGTTTTCTCAAAAAAAAAAAAAAAAAAATTACCACTTGCTAGCATTGAAATGATCTATGTTAGATTATACATTGCTTCTCAGTCTTACCTGGAATTTAAGCTCCACAGAGCCCAGGACCTTATTTTAACCTGAGGTTTTAGAGCAGTGGCTGTACATTGTACACAAAAATGTGTTCAATGAGTCTTTGTAGCCCAGTTAAAGTCCCAGATGGAGTGAGTTCGTCTTTTCTCTGTATTAACTCTTTATACACACGAATTGTTCAATGCTTTTTGTTCTAAATCATTATTATTTATGTATCGGTCTTTCTCACTCCTAAGCCAGGATCTCCTTACACAGTTTTACATGTCTCTTGGTAGAAACAAGTATAATTTCTTTTATGTAGCCAAAGATCAAATCATGTCAGCCCAAGGGTGCTGAATACATAGACTTCTCTGACATCAAATTACTAGCCCTGCAAATTAGTTATTATTTCAAAAGTCATCAACCTCAACCTTAAGTATCTGTATATAAACACTCACTAATTGAGATAATTTGAAACCATTTTTTCACATATTTGCTTAATTAGCCTGCAGTGACCTCTGCAGAAACACTGGCCTGTGATGATTGTAAGAGGTAGTTTTTTTGGCATGGACAGCAAAGCATCAAAGAGTCAGCTGGAGCTAAGGAAAGCAATAACACAACTGGTTTTAATTACTCATGACAGGCAGCTGAATATAGTGGACCCAGGGCTTCTCCTCAGTACATCACTCAAAAAGGCCAGTTAGAGAAAATGATGGAGAGAGAAAATGAATATGGGAACAAAATGTGTCCTTAATACAAAGCAGATCACCTTTTACACAGGTGACCTTATTCGTTTCCTTTTTTTTTATTTTTATGATAGTCTGAAATCATTAACATTGCTGTCCCCTAAAACATGATGCACTTCTAGGCCGGTACTTACCAGTGGTCGCTCAGGTTCTCAATGAGGGAACAGGTGATGACTACACCCTTTCATGAATCACCCTATAAACTGCAGGGTCCTCCAAAGTTCATTCAGAATTGCAGACACATTTTCAATTAATTCATTTGCGGAGTGCCGGCGAGCACCTTCTACTTCCATTCAGCATCCAGAGCTGGATTAACCTCATCTACAACCTCATTTTCCTGGACATGTTGTTCTTGGGGAACCAGTAGGAACCAGGGGGTTGCTTTGTTACCGCCTACCCACAATTTGAACACATCTCTTTCTTACCAGGTCACACTCACCAAGGAAACTATGGGTTGGCCATGTCCTTAGGTTGTGGACACAGACACAGAAACTGAGAATGCTCCCCTAATTGGGCAGCAGTTTTTGTCTCAGGATCTAATCTTGTTATAGTCTCCCCTCTGCCTGATTTCTGAGCTCAGGGCTTGCTTATGTCTGGGCACTTTCTGGTTCTTGTCACATGCAGTATTTAATCAGTATTTTGACTAGCCTTGCATACCCCAGTGCTTTTGGAACTTCAGGCGCCTTTAGTTGTCCCTGCCTCTTTCTTCTGTTTCCTGTTTGTTACTGCCAGAAGCCTAGCCTGCCTGGACTCCTGCTCTCACCATCACCTGGCCTGCTTTCACCAAGAGCTTTGCATTGCATTCCTGCCGTGTACTAAGGTGTATGGTCAAGACTGGAGCTCTAGCAAGGACTAGCCCCTCAAAGAGCTCAGAATCCAAGATAAAATGCTAAGCAAACAGATAACTGTGAACGCTATAGTGATGCAAAATGGTAAATAGAGTGGAACACAGAATCGAGACAGCCCAGCAAGCTACGAGAAAAGCTTAAAAAAAAAAAAAAAAAAAAAAAAAAAAAAAAAAAAAAAAAGGAAATCAATACCACCTAAGCATTCGGGGACAGAAGAAAATCAATGCAATCTAGTCTACATTTTAAAAAGTGACATCTGTAAATGCCCTATGCCATACACCATGAGTCTATCAGGAGATTGCAAATAGGTGCAGCTGTGGGGCGAGGGGTCATGGTGGTAAAATAGGCTAGAGAGGGAAGTCAGTGCAAGATTATGAAACTATTACATGGCATTCTCAAGAGGTGGAAATTCATGCTGTGAGTGTGAATGGGGTATCACTGAAAGATTATGTGTACAACCGTAAGATTATATTTCAGAATAATTAGCATCAATGTCAATAAAAAAAAAAAAAGCCCAGCTTTGTGAGTCCTTCCCAACCAGTGCTCTCAAACAGAGCTGATTCCTGGAATCAGTTAATAACTTATTAAATAATCTGATCCCATGTCATAGGAATGCACCCCAATGGAGGTGAAATTGGGAGATCTCTACTGATGAATTTCTCCAGTTGATTTGGAGGCAGCTGGACTATGAAGCCATATTTGGGAACTAAAGTAAACTACTGATAACGCCACTGGTTTCCAGATGTGCTGGTAAACACACAAACACACGCAGCAGCCTGTTTATACTGCTTCCTTTGGCAGAAGGAGCAGATGCAGGCGTCACTCTAAAGTGTCTTCCTTCCACGAACTCTATGATTATCCTGACAGCACCAGAAAAAGAAATTCCTTGCTTGCAACCTCTAAAAATCTGCTTATTTCTTTCAGAAACAGACCCAAACTTTAACGTAACCTCTCAAGACTACTTCATCTGGTTGGTAGTCCCTCATGACACCAGTGTTTTTGTTTTGTTGTTGTTTTTACCTTGTACCTGTTACGAACAGTACAGAGGACTGCTAGTGACAATGTTTCCCTTCAATTATTTTTCGTGGTTAAATTAAGGACACAGTAAGAATTCAGGAGTTTTTGCAGAATAATACAAATCTGAAGGCTTTCTAAATAGCATGGTTCATGATTGGAACCAACAACAGAAAGGGGATTGGTTTGTCATCAACCTCAAAGACTCAACAGAGTCAAGACCATCTATTGGCGGCCACTGAGAAATCATATTTTACACAATAAGCTCCGGAAACTGAGAGCAGAGAAGATTGGCAAATGTGTCAACTATGGAAAAGTAGAAGAGATAAAGAAATTAAAGCTGCTGGTGTAAATTAATCCCCGGAATCAACCTCAAAAGAAGATTCTGCTAATTTGTTCCAAGGCGTATGAAAGATGAAGTCCGAGTTTTGTCATACTCTATCTGTCTTTAACAGTTTACTCTTTGGTTTCATTCTGTCTCTGACTCTGTCTCTGGCTCACTTTCTGCTACATCATTCTAGAGTGCATGAAGGGTCAAGGACAGAAGTGATATAATTTTCTGGGTACAAAATATAACTATCCAGGTGATGCCACATTTATAAGAATATATTATAACAATTCTCTATTATTCTAGAGCTATGACTTTAAAATATGAATTTTTGTGGCAGTATATAGCCATGCAGGAGGTTTTCTTCATTTAAATTGGTACTTTGAATTTCAGGGTCAAAACATATCACTGTGTTTCAACATAAAAGTGCTGAAATGTTTTAAAGGCAAAATAGTCATATTTAAACATTGTGCTAATAAAAACTGAATTTCATTTCTCTTTGAAAGATTTTAGATTATTTTATTTAAACTAATTCCTTACCTGAACCCAGTAAGTCAGTATTGAAGCATCATTTTATTTGCCTATTTCTTTTGATGATTCTCTTTCCAGGTACATTCATTTCATTCAAGGGAAGAGGAACAGAAGCAGCCACTGTTGAAAGCCAGTGGCTAAAATTAGATAATTGACAACATTTACTTATAAGGTCGGGGTGAAACTTCAGTGTCTAACATTTTTTTTTTCCTGAAAGGAGACACTTCCACATCGTGGTAATTCAAGCATCGGTTATTAAATTACACCTGTATTACGTCATTGGTAGTAGAACTGTCCCAAAATAGAAAATGAAACCATATACATTTTCTGCCAAAAGAAGGCCTAAGACAAAATTAATAGACTTGTTTTCAGAAGATTGTTTGACTGCTACCTTCTTAATTAGGTGAAAATGTTTGTTCAAGGGGAGCTATGAGGGCAAAGAGGAAGAATGTGGAGTGTAGCAGACACAGGGGCAGGGGAAGGAATCTAGACTTTCTGCCCTACTCTGTGATTAACTGTATAACACAAATCATCAGTGATCAACACAGTCTATAATTTGTGAGCGTTGTTTCTTCTCAGGTCTTCATACACGCTTGTGCAGTTCCGTTGTAAGCAGGAAGCTCATGAAAGCACTTTCCCGGTGTTTTACTCCATCTCTCAGAAAATCCACAGCATCTGTGAGTGTCTCATTCTAGTAAGTACACATCTAAACGTGCACACATCACAGCGTGTGCATTATATTAGCAACAACTTGTACATACTACATCAATCATTCTAGACATGCATTGCATCCCTTCTTTCCATCTCTGTCTGCATCACGTAGGGCACCTTGGAGACAGACCCAGTCCTGAGCAAAGCACCACTGTCCGGTCTGGTTGCTCATTCCCACTGCTGATCAGGATGGTCTGCCACTATGCAGAGCAAACATCCACACTGGAACACACTGCTCAGGGAAGCCCTCTTGCTTCTCCTGGCCCAGAACTACCAGCCCACTCTTTCTAATCAGGCTTCGAAGGATGTCCATGTCCCGAGTCACACTGCTGTCAGACAGGTCGAAGATACAGCCCTCCCGTGCTACATTGTCCTTCAGGATGATAACACCATTTTCTTTCAGGCCATCTCGGCACCGGGAAAGAAATGCAAGGAGATCCTTATCAGTCAGGTACCCTGCAAGTGGGGCCAGGTTGGTAGGAAAAGAAAATGAAACAGGGGGGCAGGAGGGAGGCGGGTCGGAAAGAAAGCAAAGCTAAGAGTCAAGAGACTGTCACCTCTTCATTCACACAAACTGCTTAATAGCTTGAAATGTTTTAGTTACTAGAGACGGAAAACTGAGATAAAAATAAAAAGATACCAGTCCTCTTTTAGGGGTCTTAATTCCTTGTCTCTATATTGTGCTGCATGGACCATGTACCTAATAGGCACAAGACACTACTGCCTTTCCCAGGAGCCATTTCATGTCCTATACAACATAATCACATTTTGTGGTGTGTGTGTGTGTGTGTGTGTGTGTGTGTGTGTGTGTGTGTGTGTTACCACAGTATAATTCATTGCTGTTTCATTTCCTAAGGATTTAAGTCTCAGAATGTTTAGTTCTGAGGATCAACCATTTATGGGCTCAGTTTTTAAGTATTTTCAACTATTTACATTTCTGCAAAGATGTGGGTTGCTCCCAAGCACTTGGTCTCTCCCTAGAAGTGACAGTTAGAGCTAACAAAAAGTGTTGTAAGCACACCTGCAGCTCCATCTCCTCCTGGTGTCCCTGTTTGTCCCAAGTGTCATCTTTCCTAGCTGGAAAAATGGTGAAGGGTAAAAGTTATGCCATGCAAGACTGACCTGAGACCCACTGAATCCAGATGACGTCGTATCTTCCTATGTGAGGCGTGAATTCCTGCAGGCTGTAGCAGTGGTAGCTTTCGACTTTGTCCTCGGTAACCTGCAGGTAGCTCTGGGCTTCAAGGAGGAAGGATTCCATCATGTCCACCAGTTCAACACTGCTGAAAACAGGCAACAAGACGTGCTTGCTGACCCTTCCTATTCCAGAGCCGCAGTCCAAGGCACAGTCAGTTCCTGCTCTCCCTGGCCCCTGCAGAAAGACACCTTATGGGCTACTTCAAGTACAGAGACTCATCTCTAGTCTTGGGCATTACAACTACTTCTTCAAATCAAGTTTATTTGGCTCAGTTTTATATGATAAGATGTTTCATTTATGTATATGACTCGATGTGTTAGTACAAGTGTATATAGATAATTATCTATTATCATATCATATATAGAACATTTCATTTTTTTCCAGAAAAGCCAAATATTTATAGTTCTACTGTGTTTTGCCACATTTAGCTCTTTAAAAAGAGTTACAAACTATTACATTAGCTTCCAATACAGAGCAAGTCTCTCCAAGAAATGAGCCATGGAGAGCTCTATGAAAACATATCTCTGATGACCATGGCAGCTATATGGACATGTACTATATGTTATTACTTTGAAAAACTGGGAAGGTGGGGTGGAGCCCATCATGTGTTTTCATGAGTTTCAAAATTACTCTAAACATTCATTTCTTGGAGACATTCAAATTAGTATTGGGATAATTGAAATTTTAGTTTTTCTAAACTGGGTTTGGAGGTGCTCAGAATCATCTACTCCTTTTCTATGGGTGGTAACGTTTGAGACCTGAGCTGAGGAATAGCCATTGCCCCACAGGCTGTCTCACCAAGATTGTATTGTAAAACATCTCTGGCAGCCGGGCGGTGGTGGTGCACGCCTTTAATCCCAGCACTCGGGAGGCAGAGCCAGGCGGATCTCTGTGAGTTCGAGGCCAGCCTGGGCTACCAAGTGAGTTCCAGGACAGGCGCAAAGCTACACAGAGAAACCCTGTCTCGAAAAACCAAAAAAAAAAAAAACATCTCTGGCAACACACAAAACAGCCATCTGGATAACGGATAGTTTCTTCAGTCTCTTTGTCTCCTTTAATGCTGAAAGAATATATATATATATATATATATATATATATATATATATATAATATATAATACATAATATATTTATATATTATATTACATATAAATATAATATATTTATATATAATATTACATATATCATATTTTATATAATATATGTATTTTTGTACCAGAAACTACATGTTTACTGGAACAAGCAAAAAAAAACTTTAAGTAAGGCTATGCATTAACTAGGAAGGGGGATGGGGAGGTGGTACATATTGAGAAATTAGCTAATATAAACATTCTCAAACTTGCTTCTATAAATTAAAGGAAGTCTTTGGGCTTATGAAGAAAGACTCAGCTGGTCTAAATTATTTAGTTGTGATTGGGATAGTAATAAGTTCGTGCTAGAAATTACAGTAATAGGATACTTGGAGTTACCAATCAAGATCTTACAGAGAGAGCCTACTCTTGATTTCTCAGGAACTAAGGATGAAAAATACAGTTGGCTAAGGATCAAAGGAAAACATGAATAGGAGGAAACATCAAAAAAATTGCCTTGCAGTCCATCTAAAAGGCTTCCCTTATGCTAGAAAGGCACAAGGACAAAGCAACAAGGAGCCAATGATAATGCTTTGTTTCAATGTAGTAAGGGCTGTAATAAATGAGTATTGATACGGGCACATGCTCTTAATATCCACAATAATCACAAAAACCAGAAAAACTTCCGTAAGATTATGATGATGGGGCTGGAGACATGGCTCAGTGGTTAAGAGCACTGGTTACTCTTCCAGAGGTCCTGAGTTCAATTTCCAGGAACCACATGGTGACTCAGAACCATCTATAATAGGATCTGATGCTCTCTTATGTCATACAGATGCACAAGAAGACAGAGCACACACACACACACACACACACACACACACACACACATATACACACATATATGTATCTCTTTTTTAAAGATGATGAGAATGAGTCCCATTTAGGAGATGAGAAAACTTCAGTTTCTGGTGTTACATAGCTCATGGCAGAACTAGAATTTGAGCAGGAACCCTCTGAGCCAAACCCAGTCTACATTAGGAACAACACCTACAGCGTTAACTCTGACTCCTCTGGTAAGGCTACCTAATGTGATAGTCAAAGGAATTCAAAGGCTTCATCCAGACTCGGCAGGAAAGGGATGCATGGTTGACTGGTGATTTCTTCCTTGGAGCTAAGAAGGAAAGCAGTAGAACATTGCCATATGCTTGCCATCTCTGCCTTCACTATGATGCCACCCTTGTTCAAGTATTACAGCATACATACAACTGGTTTAAAGTCTCATGAAAGTCATAATCTTCTATATAAAATAAGAAACATAAAAGGAGAAAATATGGAGTGATTATTGTAAGGTACTAGCAATGACTAGTAGAAATTTGTGGGTTCAATAAGAGATTCTCATTAAAACTCTTCCCTGGAATTGCTTGGCTCCCAGCAGCTCTATTAGTCATGCTGCTCTCATTAGTGTAGCAAGTGGCTTTAGAAGTAGACCCATGAACAGAGCTAAAAGACCTTAAGATTCTAATCACTGGACACTTACTGTTCAATGAACAGATAATATGAAGCTGGTAAGTGAAGAAAGCTCACCCTATCAGCCTTCCTGTCACTCACCAAGGAAGCCCTTTGGGGGTGTCAGCAATGGCCTAGGGTTTTTAAGTAATGGCTCTTTAATTCCTCTGCATTTTAGATAAATAAACTGAGGACAAGGAGGTGAAATGTTCCAGTTAGAACTCCCTGGAACTGTGGTTCTCAACCTTCCTAATGCTGTGACCATTTCATACAGTTCCTCATGTTGTGCTGACCCCCCAGCCCCGAACCATAACATTATTACTTCATTGCTACTTCATAACTGTAATTTTGCTACTGTTATGAATCATAATGTAAATATCTGGCATGCAGGATACCTGATATGTGGACCCACAAAAGGGCCGTGACCCACTGGTTGAGAACCATTGCTCTGGAAGCGTCTCACCCTCTTCAGTTACGAATAATCAGTTCCGGTGTCTGATGTTTGGCTACAACTATTCTTGAAACTGTTTTTCAACAGACACAAATGCTCCTTTCACTCAGGTGCTGTGACCCCCTAGCCTCTCCAACCATTGCCTGGTTGCCCTGTTCTGCTTCACCCAATGTGGTTGGCGCTGCCTCCCCTGTCCTGGCATAGCTGTTCTTTTTCTGTCTGTCACTCACAGGCAACACCTCTGAGAAGGGATATTTAAAGGCTGCTCTCAGAATCTACTCTCACCTCTTGGACCCGATGGCTGGGGAAGCTGTGACTGGATTGAAATCGGATGCCCTTGACAAATGTGAACACAGCCTCACACGATGCGTGATTTCAAAACAAGATGGTTTTTATTTTCATTTTCACTCACTGTGTTATCATCATGTCTGTGGATTCATACAAAATAATGAAAACACTCTTAGTTATGTTCTTTGTGGTCTTACTGTGCCTAATTGTTTTATTTTGCAGAGCATTACCCATTCAGTTAAGTTGAAAACTAAAATCTAAGTGTTTCATGGCCCTGTATAAACGCCATGAAATACAAATCAAATCTTACCATTTTAGTCATCCAATCTCTGACAAATATCCAAGAAGTAAATGGATCAAATGCAAAATCCTTCTTGTGGACTACAACCTTACCCTATTAGTTATCAGCTAAGCTGGCATCATGTTGGTACCACTTGTGGATTTTCTAAAGCAAATACATTTGCAACTAGATTAAACAGCTTTTCCCACTGTCCCCTGTCACTGAGTGTTGAAAGGAAAGCAAAGCTTTAAATTAAACAGTCTGCCTTTTCCCAGTTGACACAAGAATAAATCATGTCAGATACTCATATCCCCTAAGTCCTTGTTTCTTGACCTAGATACTAATTTAGCAGATTATTGAGGTCAAAACACTAAAATATCATTCCTTTAAACAGACTGTTTGTTCTTTGTTCAAGGTCACAGCTTTACAATGAGCCTTGTCTACTAAGAAGGACTCTTGTGTTTGTTTGAAAGAACAGTCTGCCTCTTTTCCAACATAAATATGCGAGCATACAGTGTTTCCTTTCCCAGGTCCGTGGGCGTGCCTCTGGGCTCTGTCTGACCAGAATCCCTGTGGTCAGCTTGGCATTCCTCGTGGAGTGACAAGACAGCTGGATTACTAGCTAAGCTTCTGAAATGCCTTGGGATCAAAGTCGGCCTCACCATGAGGCAAGCAGGAGGGACTGCTTAGTTCAGAAAAGAGAAGAGTTGAGGTCTATAGTCTGTGAGGAAAAAAAAATTAGGGATTTTTCTGCTTCATGAAACAAATGGGAAAAAAATATGGCGTGATTGAGAGCAAGGAATTTGGTGTAAGACTAACCTGGCTGGACTGAAGTCTCAAGTGTGTGTGTGATCTTAAGGATTTATTTCATCCCTTTAAGCCTCAGTTTCCACAATTACAAAAAAAAGAAAAGAAAAGAACTGACAACAGTTCTTACCTTTAAGGATTCTAAAGAGTAAAGAGACAGTGTTCCTAAAAGGCTTGGCAAAGTAACTGACCTACTTAGAGTGAGCATGCCATGAAATCAGCTATCGACATTAGTTTACAAGTATTACAGATTACTCATGTGAACATCCATGGCCATAAACCCTACACTTTTCAACCCTCTGTGGCTGCTACTTACATCAGATAGACATCTCATCCTGGCCCCAAGTGTCTACTGCCAGACTCGTGACTCAGATACTGGGTGCTTCAGGGGGAACTTAGAATGAATAGAACTTCGCTTCAGCACCAATATGATCTTCATGCTATCCTTCTGAGTAGGTTGACAGCTTAACCCTAAAGCTCAATATTGATAACATTTCCTTTATCAAAATAAAACACTACCCACATTTAAATCAAATGACATTGTATTGAACTACAACAAATTTTGCTTGCAATTAGGAGTTTTGTCTTCAATAAGATCCGTGGCAACTTTATTGTGTGGGTTAAGATAGTCTGAAAACTAAAGTTGCATTATCTGTGATGAACATATGGCAAGACATCATGGTATTATTAGTAATAGCTATGCATTATTTATTTTATGCTCATTTTGTTCACTAAAGCAAGAGCCCAACATTGCTGGTCTTCTTTGATCTTTGGTTTTTTTTCACCAACAGATTCGGTTGTTATTCCCTAGCCATGAATGAAAAGACTGAAGCTAAACGTATGGAAAGAACACACTCAGAGGAACCATGATGAGTTAAAATACTTAGAATTTGGGCTCCTACATTCTACTGTCTTGTCTCTGTATGACCTGGAAACTTCTTCCACAAAGAAGGAAGAGGTTTAACCAAATCCAGAGTAACAAAAGAATCTCATTTGTTCAGTTCACAAGGTGAACTATGTATAAAAATCATAAAGGGATTCTATCATCCCTGTTTTCAAACTGAACGTAAGCATGCATTTCCTAGCATATTTCATTTGTATTTTAGAGACTTCATTAATCAATCTGAAATTCTGTGACACATGAATTCTCAGCAGTCTTCTCTCTGGGTGTCAGCTGTTTACCTCTGATTCTCTGAAGAAGATGTCTCTGTAATGTAGGACAGTGATGTCTCTACTACTAGTTCACCTTCCCCCGAAGCATGCAAGATTAGTTGGTGCTACAATGGTCAAGTGCCAAGTAGGATAATCCGAGGGTTTGCTGAACTCCCATCTCTCTGAACATCTTAAAACAGGCTTTCCGGCTGACCACTCAGCTGAGTCACATGGCTCTGACAACACAGAAACATGTGAGCTCAGTTTGCAAGGACTTTGCCCTCTCATCAAGCAGCAGTCAGAAAACTCACCCCAACAAATTTCCTAAGAAATTCACGAGAGGCCTGGATATCTGGGTTGGAGAGTTCAATAAAATTTCCCATCATGCCTTCTTCTGTGGCTGGTACCTCTTGGTAGAAAAGTTTGGCTCTGGCATAGAACTGCATCTCACCGTCAATGACTTGGCTTGTTAAAGCATACAATTTTACTGCAAAGAAAATATTATCAAAAGTTATTAAAATGTACAGGATGTAACAAGCTAATTTTTTAGCAATATAATGGCTTTTTCAAAACTCCATGAATTTGTGCTACAGAGGAAAAGGCACTGATGATTTGATTTTTTTTAGACAAGGTCTCACTATATAGTTATGGCTGTCCTAGAACTTGCTCTGTAGACCAGGCTGGGCTCAAACTCACAGAGATCCACCTGCCTCTGCCTTCTGAGTGCTGGGATTAAAGGCCTGTGCTGCCATGCCCAGCATGGGCAAGGGTTTTAAATCAGAAAACCTGGGTTTGAGTTCTAGCCCAGATGCTTGCATGCTATATAACACTGAGAAAACTATTTAAACCCTATGATCTTCAAGAATCTTAATCTATAAATCACAATTACTTGACATTTTCATAATTGAGCAGCTAGTTTAATAAACATCTTATCAAAAAGTCTTACAGTATTTTGTACAGTAGAAAAATAACCTCATCACATCATTCCAAGTAATGTCTCTTAGCTCAGTGCTTTATGGAAATGTTCTCATTAATTCTTGCTGTTAATCCCTCTTTTTCACTTTCTTTAAAGCAATATATTTACAAGTATGTCTCTATGTCAAATACAGTACTCATGTATGAAATTCTGAAAACATTTTTAAAATTAAAATTTAAAAATAGCTTAATCCATAAGCCCCCCCCCAAACAAACCAATTAGAAAGCTAAAAAATTCTAAAGTTCTACAGGTATAGGGAGAAAAGTAGTAATGAAACAACAGAAGAAAAATTCCAGAGCTGAAAGAGACTGTAAGATCTAACCAGGGATAGGAAAGATGGACTACTGAAAATGCTAATTTACAGATATGTTTAAAATCTTCAAAACAGAAAGAATAAGAAAAGGACCCTAATGCCATTTGGAAGGAAAAAAAATGATTGACATTTAAGTTGAATTGCTAGGTTTAGAAAATAAAAATATAGGACTTAAAATTATTTGAATTTTAGATAAACAATAATTTATTAGAATAAGTGTGCCTAAAATATTGCACTCCACATGAGACCTACCTATAAACAAAAATATTTGTTGATAATGTCAGAGTCAGTGTAACTGGCATCTTTTACAAAATGAAGAGCTGAAGTTAAGCAGCTGTAACAAATTTCATCAGAAACAATTGAAAGCAATGATTTAGTGGAATTAGTATTGTGAGGGAATTTTATTTTGAAGTTAAATTTAACACTCATTTAACGGTGAGAGTATTTAGTTCCTATGGATTCATTTTACAGAAGTTTCCTGGAGGTGTATTTCAACCCAGCAAGGGTTAAAATCAAGAGATGGTGTAGACAGAAAGATGATATCACTAACATGGGAACCCAGCAAAAAGAAATCTGCAAATGACAACTACTTATCAGATCTGGAATAAAACTGTTCGTACGGCAAGAGAAATTATAGACTGGAATTCAGCCAATAGACAAAGTAGCCAAGAATCTAGGGTACATTGGTAAAATTCCAAAAAAGACATGTTTTGGTTCACAGTAACTAGAAATAAAATATGGTTAAAAGCTCTAGGTAAAATATACAATGGCTCAAACTTACTCTTATCATGACATGAAAACCAAAATATGGCATAATTTTAAGTCGAAGGAGTCAAAGGAAAAATAGCATTTAGCCTTAACTAGGAATGTTTACTTATCTTTAGGTAACTCCAAAGATTGTGACATTAAAGCAGGGTGCTGCTTGATTCTAAAGTTAATAACTACATACTCCCAAATTTTTATTCTAGAAGTTAAAAATGCAGTAGATAGCATGTGACTCGAACTGTGCTCCCATTATGGAGTTAAGTCAAGATTTTCCAGCTTGAAGATACTGGAACTAATGTTTGGGTCACAAATGACCATGGGTTTTCTGAAAGGGTTACAGGAGTCAGTTTCTAAATAGATTATTTTCTAGAGACCAATATAGTATGTATGATACATAGTCTCCTCAAAGTATATTAACTATTACACATGTATGTTAGTTTTAAAGTACAAATCTTTTAAAGCTGCTGATGTATAGCATCTTTTTGTCAATTTATGCACAACTGTATGAGATAATACAAAACGGAAAGCCGAGACCTCATGCTCCAAAGCAAGAGGTAGCTGACCTACCTCTTCTCTTCCCGCACTTGCCTAAGTAAAGTCTTACACAAAAACCAAGTGAACCAACAAATGTTTATAAATTCAACAGAGATGGAAAATGTAGGCATCACATTTTCCAGAATTATCATGGTTCCAAATTCTTCTGCAGTCCTCAAAACATCAAGTTAGAAAATCACAGAGTTTTCTTAGGATTCAATGCTATTCTGGGATTGTGGATAAACCATGGCTCAGTGGCTCAATCTGTCTCTCTCCCCCAACTCGTTGTTGTTAAGGAGAAGCTGTGCTAGAGTACATGTTTGGGGATCAGAGGACAACGTGCAGGAGTCAGTCCTCTCCCTCCAACACATGGATCCCAGAAATCAAACACAGGTCATTGGTTTGGCAACTACTGCCTTCAGTCACCTACCTAGCCATCTCACTGACCCCCTCAATGATTCTGATCCAGGTAAAGCAGCAAATTAGCCACATTCATCATCACCTGCTTAAGTCACCAAGTGGGTAGTGTACATTAAAAGTCTTAATCTAGAAACGGGCATGGTTCATTACATCAGCAACATTTTGGTTTCAGGTCCATACAGAGCTCAGCAGGTTTCAGCTTCACTAGGTGGGCTTTTATGATTAGGGGTTTAGTTCTCATTTTCACCTAAGTGACAGATGTATTTCTCTAAGAAAGATATATGAGGTGTCATGACCAATCCCAGATTCTGCCCCCTGATGGCTCCTGCATAGTTCATGGTGGCTTAAATAAGGCAACTAGCCATTAGTCCACATCTTTTTAGAGTGGAAATTCATGTAGTGGTGTTTTGTCACAGAATTGCAATGTCTCTGTAAATTTTGAGATTGTTTGCAACAGAGAATAGGACAAAAATGGCACTTATTTCTTGACACATATTACCTGTAATTGATCAAATCTACATACATGGAAGGAACCTATCTCATTGGTAATGTAAGATAAATGTTATGTATACTTCTTTGGATGAAAGAAGAAGCAAGGAAGTAAGTGTTAAAGTGTCCAGATCAAATGACACAACTGAGATTTGATCCCAGTTCTATGCAAATCCAACAGACATTGCTTCTTCATCTTACATTTTGACCTGAAACTGCATCAGGTAAGTAAAAAGAAAGAGAGAAAGAAAGAAACAAACAAACAAACAAACAAAGAAACAAAGAAAGAACGAAAGAAGGGAGGGAGGGAAGAAAGAAAGAAAGAAAGAAAGAAAGAAAGAAAGAAAGAAAGAAAGAAAGAAAGAAAGAAAGAAAAGGGTTTTTTTTTCATTTCTTTAAAGAGAAAAATGCCCTTGTAGCACTTGCACTACAAAAATAACAAATGTTTGAAAATTTTGGACACAATATTTTTGTTAATTCTTCGAGAATTTCATACACTGCATTCGATTTTTTAAAAATTGTTCAATGAAGTGTGTGGCAATGCCAGTCATATGGCAGTTAGGAGATGTATGGTGAGTTCATTTTGGGAATTCTAAGTGTTTTAATGAAAATGTTTTTAGTAACTCTCACTTTTAACTGTGGCTATGAATAGGTAGCCACTGCTCTTAGCTTCCTCCCCAAAGACTGATTCTTCTAGAAGTGATCCAAAAGAGGAATAGTACCTATTAAGTGCTTCTTATGTACCTGGAATTGTCCTAGACATTTCATATTAGTTCTTTTAATCCTGCAAGTCTGGTTGTTAATATTTTAGAAGACCAGAGTTAACGTGATCACTTCTCAGATGAGTGTTGGAAGAATAAGACTTAGTATAGTTTCTCTTAGCAAAAGACATATTAGAGCAGGTCACAAAACAAGCCCATTTGACCAAAGCTTTTGTCCTTCTGCTAAGTCACCCAAAACCATTGTTAAATAACAACGTCCAGGAGCTATTACACTCCACGTAAAACAACTGACAGTCACTGATCTCCAGGTGTTGAAAAATGTGGTTATGCTAGAATATTACTGATGGTTAACTTACGTGAACATCTCCAACTGGGCTATATACAGGTCCCTTTAAGAATTGACAAACTAAAGACTTACACAACTTTTCCTGTACTAGCTCCTATTTGTTCATAAATAGCCACCTTTAGAAAACTTTTCAAGCCAAATCTCCAAATGGATGATGTCACCGAATTATATGAACCTATTCAGTGGCCCACCCATCTGGATCCCCACAGAGAATCAATTTTCTTCATAAGTCATGCTTTCTATTGCTGTCAAACTGAAAGTTATGTGTGGAAAAACGTACATCACTGCCTACTTTAGCTGAGTGTCCATTCACATTGGTAAGTAGGATATGTAAGAGTTTTAAAGTAGCCTGGGATACAGATGCCTGGACTTTAATCCTGCCCTGTCACACACCACTGCAAAACCATTGGAAAAACCTTCCCATTCCTCTGTGCCTAGTTTCACAAATGTAAGTTATGGGAAATAAGAACACAGCCAATAGGATGCTGTGACAATGAACTGAAGTTTTTAAAAATGGAAAACACTAGAAGTTGTGAGCTTGTTTCTGTTTTTCCTGAAAAATCTCCTTAGGAAAACCGCAGGGCTTCATCTTCTACGGCACACTTCAGTCCTCTGTGTCTCAACAGTTCCATACATCTCCAAAGCCAGTCAGAGATGCTTGAGGAAAGTTCTCCATGATGGATCTTACCACAGAGGGAGCAGGAATAAGACTGACCGCCTTACACAGACGGTTGGAGGGATGGGGAAAGGAAAGGGGGATCAAAGACTGGCTAACCCTGGTGCGCTCCATAATTACCCCTAAACAACTAGCCCTCTGTGCAGACCCTACAGGCAGGGTTCGCTAACATTTGAAAGGAGAGACTTTATTTTCATTTTTATGAAGTCTTAAAGTCATCAAGAACAAGGGCAGCCAAACACCAAAACACTTCTGTGGGGCTGGGGAGGCAGCGTCTCTGCTGGCTGTTTTATTTCCAACCTAAAAGGCATAATATCCGCTACAGCCTGAAAACGCGCACATATTAAGTTTATCGTCTTTGGTAATTCCTGCTCTAAAAAAAGTTAAATGGTGACTTTAGAAGAGGCCAGGCACAGAGGAAGTAGAGAAAAACCTAACACCTACTGAAAACTGATGGTTTTTTACATGTATACTGCATGTAATTCTTCTAGTAACCTTGTCACAGTTTTGAGGAAACTGATGCTCATAGACATTAGTAACTTGCAAGAAGATCACTTATCTAGTTTGTGTAATATAAGACCATAATAATTATTCAAATGTAATTCCATAACTGTTTCTTTCATAAGATATGACCAACTTGATCAGAAAATAAGTATATGATATAATCATCTCTAAACAGCAATTTTTTTCATAGGTGCAAAAGCACCCTATGACTATATGTACCACTCACATCACCTGTAATCTTATATTTATGTTCAATGAACTCTAAAAACATTTGATATCTGTCATTTTGGGCTTATGTATTTAAAGCTACCAGACAGGCCTTTAGCAACATTTTTTCCTTTGCCTTGATGAATAGTATTATCTGGCTGATGGAGACTATATCATCCTGGATCCCTATATGCCTACAAAGAAAATAGCTGTCCTCATCATAATAAATAATACATGTCAAAATGATAAAAAGAGTAGATGCATGGTTTCAACCAATGATATCTCAGAATTCATTTGTTGTTGCAGCAGAGCCTAACCCATACCAGCTAATATTATCCTCAGCTACTGTTGTCACACAAGTTTGTGGATGCAACTATCTTACTGACTGTCAGGGAAAACTAATGCCCAGGCTGGATTCTCAGGATAGAAAAAAGAAGGAATGTCATTCATGGAAAGTTAAGTAATGATAAATCCAACTTTGGCCTGGAACAGAGTGATTTTGTTCCGGTTTTACTCACTAAAGAAACCCACCCAGTCTTTCAGAAGCCATTGGTGAGGCAAAAACAGACTGAGAAAAGGACCTTCACGCTAAACCTAAGTAGAAAAGTTATACTTTTCCCTTCATCTTACTTTGGGTTTCCATGGACTATTTTGCTAAACACATTCACACAATCAAAAAGGAAAAAATGGATAAAATAAAAACACATAAAATCAGAATGATTATATCAGATTAAGAAAAGACCAAGTATAACTGTAGGCCACGTGTTTCAAACAAGCTTTCATCTGATTTTGAGCAAAGATTGTTTTATACTTAACTGGTTTCCAGCTACATTCATAAATGAGTCCCTTTTCTGTCTGGTAACCATTTTAAAGGCTGTCTGTCGGTCATCTGTCCACTAGTTAAATTCTTCTCAGTTATTATAATTGATGGATTTCTCCAGTCTAAACCACACAGTGTTGCTGAAGATTCTTACTGAGCTGTAGCCCAAAGACTATCCCCCAGAAGTCAGTGATTTGCCAATGTCTGGAGTCACCAGGGCATTACACCCTTCCAAAAGATCACCCAGTTTTTCTCTTAGGATAAAGGAGATGCATATGTTTTACTGGAAGAAGCCTTCAACTTGCTTTGGTGTAATTCTCTCCGAATTAGATGACACACCTCTGAATTTTCCTTTTTCACTTAAAACTAAAATTGAAGGGAAGAAGCAGGAAAGTGGAAGGGAAAATAGTGATATTTACCCATAGTGTAGCTGTAAGAATCTAAATTTTAGATGAGAAACATTTTTATATGAACGCTATATCACTAAAAATAGTGATATTTACCCATAGTGTAGCTGTAAGAATCTAAATTTTAGATGAGAAACATTTTTATATGAAAGTGGAAGTATCTGTAGGTACAGAATTAAAGAAACCTCAGAAGTAAATTTATAAAATGAGACTTTGATAGCTGCTAACATCCAGGTTCTTGAATGTAACACTAAGAACTATGTAGTTCTTTCCACAGCAGGAATCTGGGGCCAAATCAAGTGCACAATGGGGCTTTCAGACAACCTTAAGCAAACAGACCAAGGCTGAGAAACAGCGTTCTTGTTTTCGCTGGGAGAAAACATAAATCAAAGAGGCAGGAAGGGGGCACTTCACTTTTTAATCAGAAGTCGTTTCCTCTTTCGTGCTGGTGAGAGTGTTCTGAAGTCTGTTACCTTTCCACTGGTTAAGAGAATGCTGCAAACACACCTGACAAGCTTTCTATTGCTTTCTTGTCCCGTTTCCCTGAAACCAGGGGAAAGGCAAAACGGAAGGCAGACTATCACCCCTTGATATCAGAAGTTCTCTTATGATACCCGTGACTTAGGGAGGCCAGAGCAGATAGCACACACACACACACACACACACACACACACACACACACACACACACCACCCATACAGATGCATGCATGTTCCAAGCACACTTTGACCCCTTATCCTGTAATCTCTGTTTTCAGTTTTTGCTTCACATACTATTGCATGAATATTTTTAACTCCGAGCTACCTAAATTTCCAACTTGAGCAATTAGAAAACACACCATTGACAACTCAAGCATTGAGCTTCTCTAAGCCTGACAGTCACCCAGCTGACACCTAGAGCAGCAATTCACTATGCCTGAGGGGGCATGGAAACCCTAAAATAGAGTTCAGCCTTGCCAGGCAGCACTTGATCTCCCCTCTCCATAAAAGAATGTCATTGAAAGCATTTCACCCACTCACACTGGTCTGGATTCTCCTTAGCTGAAAAGGAACCTCGCTCTAACCTCTCTCCTAGGCACCCCATAACCTCATACAACCCATCCAGTCCCTTCTTGTCCCTCATCTAACAGCTCAGACTCACTTACCCAGGGGAATTTTTTCCAGCAAGTAGAGATAGCTCTGAAAGAAGTCATTGCGAATGGCTTTGTGAAGGATAAAGGACATGCTATGTCGACAGAGTTCATCATCGGTCTTCTGCCAGCGGGATCTAAAGGCAAAATGGGCTCCCAGGTGGGCCATGGTGGAGGGGGATAGTAATTATTCCTGCAGAGAAAGGAAGCTTGTCTGGCTGTTCCTTTGAATTAGTCTTCTCTTCCTCAAAGAACTTGAGACTGTCATTTTAAACCAGTCCCAGGTCCATCTATATCAGGACAGGCTGTCATGGGTTGTAGGGGGAGGGGTTGCAGACATGGGGAGGTCAGGCTCTTGGCACATCCACCCACCCTCTGATTGCTTGCGCGACACCACTCCAAGCCAGCAGGTGCTAAAAGCAAAGATGGAAACAGGCTGAGTGAGATCCTGCTTCACCCAGGGAAAAGCACGCTTCCCTCCTTTATAGGCGCTTCAAACGGGCTCAGGCACTGCCTGCTAACACCCTGAATACTTTGCTTTAATTTGACTCTGAAATTGGAATAGCCTAATTTCCATTTCAAAGAGTTGTGAATATTTTGCAGGAGATCCTATTCCCTGATTTCCATGGCTCCTAGAACACTGAATCCTCAAATTACAAGGGCCCTTCAAAGTCATCTTAGCCACTCACATTCCTTTCATCAGTACAATTTTTTTTCCAAATCATTTTATAGAGGTGGATATGTGTTTCCAATGTTTAAGGATCTTCCAAAGGGGCAATTATTTGAAAGCCCGTTTTGAAATTAAATACCCTTCTCTATCAGCAAACTCCTCCACTTAACTTCTGAGCAATGCCTATTCATGCAAGCTTGTTTATTTCTTTCTGTCTACCATGAATATGATTTTCCTTTAAAGTACATTTGTGTTATGTACTATCTTCTGATTGTCTCTCCAACTCATTTCTCTGCTTTTTTGTAGGACCCTACATGTTCTAGAGGCCAACTTATGCTGACTATATCAGCAGACTCCATTACCCTCTGATTCAGCCAGTAGATAGTGCCGTAGGAGATGGTAATAATGAAGTCAAGGTATTTATTCAATCCCCTGGCACCAGTATTTCCCTGGAGATACCCCAGAATCACTATTTGCTTTAACAAAAAAAGTCTTTTCATTTGATGACCTCTCCTAGTCCTCTTTATTTCTCCTTTGCTTTACTGGCTGAGACTTAGGGATAGTGGTGAGTGAGGGTTATTGCAAGCTGTACTCCTTGCAATTTTGCCTATATTTTTATAAATAGACCCTTTCAAACTCAGCTCAGAGTCCAACCTGTGACAGGCACCTGTTCTCTGCAGGGATCATGACTACTGTTTTACTCTTCATATTCCAATAGGACACTACACACACACACACACACACACACACACACACACACACACACACACACACACACGCACACGAACCCCATGCTCTATTAGCCCTATACCATGTGCTCCCATTAACCTTATATACAGTGGACATATCAAAGCAGACAGCTTATGAGATGATTTCTGTCCTAGTTCAGACTGTTATAACATTACGTAGAGTGGGTGGCTTAAACAATAAACATTTATTTCTCATAGTTCTGGAAGCAAGGACAACCAAGATCAAAGTGCTGGCACACACTGTATTTACTGAGAGACCTGTTCTCAGTTTCCAGTTGGTTCTCTTCTTGTTATATGCTTACATGTCAGAGAGCAGAACCTGTGATCAAGCCTTAGTTCACATCTTGACAGGATACTAATCGCATTCAGAAGGGCCCCACTTTTGCTGCCCATGACCATCTCTGCACATCGTCTCTCAACCCTTTCACCTTGAGGGGACACAAACATGTCATCTGTAATGTCATCTTCACCTTTTCCTCTACACGTGAATTCATGCCTTGCTGGCCACCTTTTTCCTTGAGCGGAGACTGAACTGGCTGGCTCAGCTCTAAAGAAAAACACGTGCCAGAAGTTATGGGATGGCACATTTAAGATGAGGTCATAAAATGACTGTCGTGAGCATCTCATTTCCCTCTCTTGATTATTTTCCCTGACTTCAAGCCACCAGCCTGCTATGAGCTTCCCCACGCTGAGGACCATGTAGCAAGGAAATGAAGCCCTCACACAGTCCAGGAGGAACCGAATCCCTAAGTGAGCCTGAAGAGGAAGCATTTCCCAATCAGAAATTCGGTTATAACCTGATGGGAGACCTCAACCCGGTTAAGCCACTCCAATTTTATTAATCCACAGTAATACATTGTTTTTCTTTAAGTAGCTCAACTTTGGGGAATTCTGTTACAATGTACCATAGAATAATTTACCCATCACCCTTATAATGTTGAAAATTGAACCGTAATCTCCCAAAGTTTGCTTTGTATGCTCATCTTTTACTGGAAAAGGAAAGGATTCATTTGCTTGGTTCTTATATATTTTCCCTCACCTTCCAATGCCTCTAGACTCCCTTTTCCCATTGTCCATAACAGAAGGCACAGCTGTTAAATTTTGGTTACATTGTCTCCACCTCTGGCTTTAGGACTTGCCGAGAACATAGTTCGTTACCACTTTTCCTCCTCCACAGTTTCAGTTCATGAGCAGGTACTTCTCTCAGGACTGGGCCTTATTTGAAAGATGGCATTCCCTTGACTATAATTTTCATAAGGATACAGTCATGTTATCTGTTATCATTCATGCCATCTACAGTTTTCTGTGCTAGCAAATGAAAACTTGTCTAGTGAAAACACAATCATAAATAATTTTTACTCAGTAAATTTTCATAAGAATGCAAGCATGTCTAACTTTTTTATTACAACAGAATATTGACATTTACAAAGTTTGCACTTGAGAGTTGCACAGTGGAGTTATAAAAAAATCAAAAAATATCTCATAAAGTTTCCAGCAGACTTACAATTTTGTGTTGGTCCAAACTCATAGCTATCCTCAGCTATATGTGGGTCACTGGCTGGACATGCTTGGTAGATGATGTTCTGATTCCAAATCAGAACAAGGGAACTTCAAAAGGGATTATTTCATAATGCATAATGAAAGATGTATTTTTATTTTTAATTATGTGTGTGCATGCATGCACATACATGCATCTATGTGTAGGTATGTGCATATGTAAATACAGATGCCCAGATTCCAGAAAAGGGTATTGAATCTCCTGGAGCTAGAGCTACAGTGTTGAGCCACCTGATATGGGTGCTGGAATCTGAACGCAAGTCTTCTTCAAGAACAGCATGTGTTTTTAACTACTGGGCCATTTATCAAACCCTAAGAAAGTCTATTTACTGGGATCAAACATATATGGCTGAGTTGAAAATTCATCCCCCGACATGTATATAGGGTAACCTTGACAAACTGATTGCTTAGTCACTCTGAGCCTCACTTTCCTCTTCTGTAATACAAAGATAATGATAATGGTGTGTGCTATGTATGATGTGAGTACTAAAGGAGCACTCCGTCTACAACATGAGAGTGCTGAACACACATCTTCAATAACTGCTAACCATCATCATTGGTAGAAAGCCAATAATGAGTTCCAGATGTCCAAAACATCTTATCTGCCTATTCTTAGGTTTTATTCAAGAAATTCACCGCATACATACTGAGAAGATGAGTTATAGTCAATGAAGTTAAAAATGGAAGCAAAATCCAAATGAAATGGACTATGGGAGTTTATTCATGTGTCCTTCGGATTTTTCTGTTTTTGGAAAACTAAGCAGAAGATTAAGAAGGCCATTTTAGAGAAGTTACCTACTAGAAAGTGTGCACTGGTGTAGATGTAAACACACACACACACACACACACACACACACACACACACACACACACACACACACATCTTAGAGAGGCTGCCTACTAGAATGTGTGTACTTGTGTAGATGTGAACACACACACATTGACATTGCACATGTGGATTTTTTTGCAACTCAATTGTGTGGTTCTTAAGTATGAACTTTCAAAATGACAAGTCGTATCACAATGTCAATGTGTATTGTGTTCACAGGGCCAGGGAGTGCACATACTATTCTCCTTTGTCACTTGTATTAGTATCTCCAACAGGATGCTGATTCTTAACCCTCAGTAAGATGTTGGTCTTAGGAGAGAACTAACTAACTCCAACTACTCACACTGCTTATCTGACAATTAATATGGGTAAGTTTTTCAGTGTTTACAGAACTAATTATCCACTATGAATTATAAACTTTTTGTATCTGGACAAGGATTATTAAACATTCTAAGATCTTTATATTTCAGACCTATAATTTTAGAGTGGGATGAAAGACTGATTAGTTCATACAAAACACCTTTGTCAACTTAGTTTGTTTCTGTGGGTTACATTAGGTTTTGTGACTATTTCTCCTGGTTTCCAGCTCATTGCATTTGCTTCCTTATGGTGATCATTTTTCTCTTACAGCTGAAACGCTCTATTTGTTGCCACCCCACACCATTCTTGGCTACATTTACACCTAGTGAGTGAAGTTATGATATACACCTCAGGTCGACCACAGGCATCCAATTTCCAGGCAGGGAAGAAAAACAATGAAGTAAAAGAGAGAAATATGACTTCAGCAAGTAAAGGAGGAAAGTGAATTCATCCATTTGATTTTCTTTCATGAGGATCTCTGTGAGGAGTGTGATGGGCAACTAGAGCTGAAAAGACTAGATTATCATGCAGAGGTTCAGAAGAAAGGGAGGCATGGAAGAAAAGCCAGATAAGAAATATATTCGCTCTGCAATATAAGAAGCTTAATATTTGAGAAGTCAGTTCCATATAGAATTGCTACCAAATTAAAATTTCATAATGCTAATTTAAATCCAAGATAATGGATGAAATAACAGTACTTTCAGCCAAAGAGACAACATGTCACTAATAGATGCTTATGGGAAGAATGACTTTTAAAAAAATCCACTTCAGAAAAAATGAAATTAAGAGAATATATTGTTAACAGGGGAATACTTTTTTTAAAAAAACTAATAAAACAGAAGACAGAGCCCACATACAATATATTATAAGTTGATGAGTTATATAATATGAGACAACTGCCCAGGCCTGGCAGATGTGCTAATTAAGCTTAACCTTCTTTTTTTCCAAGTGCTATCTTAGTTCTAGATCTCCCTTTAACAATAATTAACCCAGAACTAAAGGGCTTTTACTTACCAGGTACATCTAGCTGGGACACAGGTTGCCTAGCTACAGAGCAGACT